AGCCTCAACATTTAACGCGAAATATCTAGATTTAATCCTTAGTTTTCAAAAACTGAGCAGCGCTTGCTCAATTTTTAAATTAATATAGCTTTTACAACAGACAAATGTTTTACAACAGTGGAAGAAATGAGTCGACAACACAAATACATGTCTTTAAAATTTTTCTTTGTCTATAGGAAGGCACAACGAAAGTTTCCGAGTCTCTAAGTAGTGGAAAAAGGTCGAAGGCAAGAAAATCTGCATAAGATATGTAAACATTACCGAGCTTTTTGTTCTGGCTTGTTTTAGAGAGATCATCTACCCAAGTACTATGTATAAACTGGATGAATATTAGTCTTCTAACCCTTTAACTCCCGTGAGTGACCAAAGAGAATTTCTCCTTACAATAGCAATACAATATCAATCAGATAAGTGTTGAAAGTAAAAAAATATATATCAATTTAAAAATAGTTAGTTGATGCAATACTGAATTCTCTGTACTAACATTACAAGAATTGTATGGTTGACAGTAAGGATAATTACAATTTTGGTCTGGGAAATTAAAGGGTTATTTAAACTAATATACCAGTTATCGGCATGGATAGTAGAACTAAGTCAAATTGGCTAAAGGGAGTAATTTCATTAGTCATGAGGTAATAACTTCTCCTATGTTTTCAATCACACACACTTAAAGTATATGAGCTGATCATGACAAGTTCCCATCATAATTAATACCCTTCTTTGTATTTTCTCCCTTGAAACATCAAATTATGGAAACTTTTTCCATTATACCCACGGTTAAAAATGAAAGATTCCTTCAAAGGATACAGCTAGTCCCTTATCACACCAGGTGATTGCTTCTTCAAATCTCTTCAATTCAACACAAGCAGTGGCTCCTGTAGGCAACAGCACAAAGAAGCATATTATTACTGTAGCTGAAATCTGAGAAAAGAACCTGAAACCATTGAAATCATTACAGACCAGAAGAAAAAAAAAAGACAAAACAAAACAATACAAAAAAACTACACGGAAAAGAATGAACAGGCCCTATTAGGTTTCAGTTTGATTTATTTAACTCTACAGACAACTGAAACTCTTAAGAACACTTAAATTGGGATCAACAACTCCCACAAAAACACTAAGAGTTAGGTAAGTCCTGATCCTTCTTTTTAAAACAGCCAGATAGTGACTTAAGAGGTGTCCACGAGAGCACCGGGCAGTCGTGCTACATGCCATCTCACCGATTTCAATGAAACTTTGCCAGTTTAAAGGGTCTACCCCAAAACTAAAAAAAACAGACTGGTTTCTGTTTTGGTTTTTTCCGGGGGGAGATAGATCACCCCGGTTTTTCTTGGTTTTCACCAAGGAAATCGCTTCAAATAGGTAAAATATATGAAGCTCTCACTGCGATGGTATTTAACCGATTACTTTGAGGTCAATTTATGAACTGTTTTATAGCAGCCCGAGGAAAAAGCAAAATTGAAACAACCGGCGTATCGGTCAAATGAATTCCAACTTTTCAACAAGGAGTAGGTAATTTCATTTTTCTTACTAAATTTAAGTGGAGGTCATTGTTTTGTGACAGGCGTTTCAAAGATAGACATCTCTGAAACGTCTCTGAAACTCTTTTTAAAAAGCGTTTACACTTTTGGTAATATTTTCCTCCTTCTCGCAACAGCGCAGCAGACATTGTTAATCCTATGTAGTGTAGGTGTATCAGTTGTATTTCGTCTTTATAGTGATGCCATGTAAGAAATCGAGTGTCCAAAAAGCCCTCAATTCAGTCTAACACTCAAATTGATAAAGTCAAGATGGTGCAGTTGTCTTGTTCATTTGCAACTAACTGTAGAACCAAATGTTGTTTTTCTCGCGCTGGCTAGGGACGGCAACAGCTCACACCTCTAAATTCGTGGGTATACAGCTTAAAAAAAAAAACATTTGAGAGACGTCGATGTATCCCAAACAAGCGTTTCGTCCGAGATGAAGCTTAATTCTAGCGCGTATTGGCTTATTTGGAGATTACGAAGGCCGCGATTTCACGATGTACCTCAAATATCGTGCACAACTTGGTGTGAGATTCAGACCTTCGGGTTCGTAAATGCCAGTATCCTCCTCATAAAAATCGGAGACATAAAGTGAGAGAGAGATGAATCTGCAGATGGCAGAAGAAATCAAAGCTGGTGGCGAGTCTTCCTGGTGGCGGCAAGGTGACTATAAACCTAAATAATCTGACTTAAGAACTGTGACAAGTTTATAGCGCAGACCAACTGGCACGGTTTGAAGCACCTCAGGGTCTCACTAGGCTCATCACATTAGAAACCTTCAGCAAATTAATCGTAGAAGCGGGTGTTTATCAGCAACGTGCACAGATTTCTGAACGCGGGTCATCGCGAGAACTATACCCAATCCATCATAGACGGAACAAGAAAGCGATATATTCTTGCTAAAAGAAGGATGTATCAAGACGTTTCAGTCATTGGCTGCCATCCAAATGTACCCTGACAAAGACGAACACAGTGAAGCCGACAAAAAAATTCTGCCTAGGATAAGATCAAGAGGAAATGGACTAAGACCGGCTTGCCATTCGATAAGGGACGGCCACGTTCAAGGTCGGACCTCAGGTAAATATTCTGACGAACAATCCCTAACTAGCCAAGTGGACTTTGGATGGGCTCTTTGGAAAACACAAAAAACAGCCACCTTTTCTCAGAAAGCAGAGAATTATCTCCTAGACGTGTGCTGGGCAAGGGAGGAAACTAGTGAGGCAACCGCCTCTAATGTGATTTCCCAAATATCGAGAGAGTTTAAGAGACGACACCAGCCAGAAATGTTGTCTAAGACTGACCGGTTGATACAGTAGCAAATCGTTCGATGCTTCAGCCGGTTATCAGCCGTAACAAAAATTGGTTTATTGATGAGGTCCCCCTCTGTAAATATGAATGAGGACGGAGAGGCCGATGCCAATGATCTAGCTTCAGAATTCGAAATTGATCGAACAAGGCAGAAGATAAGGAGGGACCTTGCAAAATTTAGACGAAGACTGCAGGAGAGGGTACACCTACTATTAAGCTAAAAAAAAAAAATTTGCATCTCACTTCTTCATATTTATTGTCTTTGCTCACGAAAACAACTGGCTATGTCTTGGGATTTCATCAAGGGAAATTTACAGGAAGGCTACTCGTCAAATTACTGCTGGCTCATTCTTATTTAAAAATTTTACAAGTCACGCAATTAAACGCCGGCAACACTCGATCTAGGGAGATGTAGATTTATATATAGTAATAGAATGCTTGAAAAAAATATGCAGATATTTTACCATCGAAGCAGGTAAATAATCATAGAGATCTGCAGGTTATTCTGAAATTGTTATCTAGCAGACAGCATGAACAACGCGCTTGAATAATTCCTATGGAGAGTCTTCAAGTCACACAACAGATGTCAGTATAGCGGAGTTGTGCGTGTAAATGTTCGATGGCGGTAAGTGACTACGTCAACACTATTTTAATTTTATTTTCGGGAAAGAAGCACAGTTTTTAGTCCGATAGAACAATTTATATTTGCTCTCGAGCGAGAGCGCAGAATTTCTCGTCTGTGAAAGTCGAAGTTGTAGCACACCGGAACATGTAGTAATATCAGCCAACACGCAGCATGTGACTTTAAAATCTCCTAAAATGAGCAATGATGATGATAAACAATCAAATTATAGACTAATGATTGTTTTGTGCCGTACAAAAGCCATATCTGCTGATTTTAGCAAATCTTCAAAGTAATAAACGACTGAAGAAAGAAACGGTACGATTTTCTCATTGATTTTTCGTCTACAAGTATCTCAAAAGTTTTTCTACAAAGTTTTTCACATTTTTCATCTTTCTTGATCCATCATCTTGTATAAAGAGCTAAAAAATGTAGGTTTATTTTGTCAAGTGACCGCCTAGAGCAAGAATTGCTTGACAGGTGTAGTTGAGAGAAACTTGTCACAGTCGCAGACTTTAAAAGGCATCCAAGACAAAAATACGGTAGTACCCAACGATTTTTTTGATGATTTTCAGAGATGAAATGATGGGTTATAAAGGGTAATTAAATTTAGTGTTGTAGCTTTCTGGCAACGGGAGATATTTGACCTCAAAGTTGTCAAATATTTGGATGAATCGAAAAGTCTAAAAACAAAGTCGTATATTTGCCTCTGTTGATTGACAAGCCGTCAATCAAACTGACTGGTACTCGCAGCAGACATTAACTAAGGATGTAAAAATATGTGTGCAAATCCTCAAAGTAATCGGTTAAATACCATCGCAGTGAGAGCTTCATACATTTTGTGACAAATGTGACTCATTGAACTTAAGGAACTAAAATATTCATGCTGAAATTTTGCTTTGCATTCCGCATTGAGTTCTTCATCCCGTTCAAAATAATATTTTCATCATGATTAAAGGAAATTAATGGCGTAGCAGTCAAGAACTGGATTCAAATGTACATCAGGGTGGTCTCGACCTCTTAATTAAAGTCAATTGAAATAAGATTGAACTCCATTTAACCTCATTTAACCTTAGAGTGTTGAGTTCTTTTATTATTATTATTATTATTATTATTATTATTATTATTATTATAGTACAGCTAACATATCTAACCTCTCACAATTGCCTTAAGGAAAGTTGGATTTAACTCAATGGCTGCTTCTGCATCCCTTAGTGAATCCTGGTGATTTCCTGTTATTGAAATAAATATCTCTGATTAGCCATACATGTTGCAAACCAACTACCATTACTATCATTTTGGGAAAAACTTGTGATGCTCATTGATATCTGGGGTAAGAGGTTACTTCTTTGTATATTTGAGAGGCCAAGATAAGATGTAAATTTTTCCAGGCATGCATTCAAAATTATCACCTTTTTCAGAAAACTACCACTGACAACTCAATAGCTTCAAAATAGAAAAAAAATGCATATTAAAGCCCTCATCATCTTACCAAGTTTAGAATGTGCAATAGCCCTGTTGTTGTGCAGTTTGGCCTTCAGTTCTTTCTAATTGCAGTTCATTTTAATTCCTTTGGTGTAAAAATGAATAGCATTGATGAAATCTCCCTTCTTGAAGGCCTCATTACCCTCATTCCTATAAACATCAGCTGTGGCTGCAAAGAAAAAATAAGAAATAATTTGTGTCAAAGTCTGTGGTTGTAGTTAATAATTACCTGTGGTTGTAGTTAATTAGTGCATAAGCAGAGCTGCCAAGATCTGGAGATTTAAAATCTGCAGATTTTTCCTTTAGTGCCAGCTGCCACTTTTGCACCTGCCTTACTTGACCCATCCCCTGAAAAGCTTGGAGGGTGTGTACAGTCCCCCCCCCCATTTTTCTTCTGAGCCATTTGTTAGTGAAAGTTCACTATCTACCTTAACTCTTTAAACCCTAAGAGTGACCAGCGTCTCACTTCTCCTTACAGTAATACTGCTGAATCATTCACTAAGCTCATGAGAATAAAGGAAATGATCACCAACCTAAGAAGCATTGATCTTCAAATGAATTCTCGTTTTCAATACCACAAGAAACATACAAAGAATAGTATGGAGAATATGGATACTGATGTTAGGGTGTCAAGGGTTAAACACCTCCATATTCAATGATATAACATTTGCACTCTGCTGGAAATTGGTTGCTTAGGGGAAGTTGAAACTTTCAATTTAATGTTGCATAATTAATATAATGGAAAGATGGTGATGATGATGATGGTACTTATGATGCAAACTTACGAAATGAATGTTATATGATGATCAAATAAAGTCTTTACTTAGTATAACTTTGTGTACTTGCTTTGAACTTTGAGAAAAGAAAATAACAAATATGTCATAGATCCTCTCAGTCAATGAACAGCATATTGTAATCATAGAAGAGAGTCATAACTGATCAATATCCTTTAAAGTGGTCATGCAGTGTATTAATATCATTCTCCACATCTGCTTACATTCTTGAAACTGGTGGAATAGAAAATGTTTTAACAATGACTGAAGCCAAAGTTGAACCTAGCTCACCTCGTAAAGTGTCCTCGTCAAAATCTGGAGCATTTTCTTTGTCAGGTAAGTCTTCATTTTCAGATGGAACCTTAATTGGACTTCTTTCTTTTGCCATAGCAACTGTGAGGGGATGCTTCTTACAAAAAGTTGCTGTTTTAAGTCATCCTGGCCTGAAAAAAAGATGGTTGCAAATGGTAAAAAATTAGCTCAACATTAATTACCCAATTGTAAACTAAATATTTTTTCCCTTCTGAGAATGGGAGGGATACATAGACACAAAATCACAAGCAATTAATATTAATAGCATATTTAAAGCAGTAAAAGAACAAAAGATACATACACACATACATACATATAATTATATATACTGAAGAAAACAAGCATAAAATGTAAATGAACATTAATTCACTTCTCGTTACAATAACTTTCAAGATTTACGAAAGACATTCCCAATTGACTGAAATAAATTGGGCAAAAATCAACATCCGTGTGTTTCAAGTTTATATAATTTGTAACAGTAGCGATTTAAATCATTTAAACTAAGAGGTGGTGGGTAGTTAGGTCACATCTGGATTTGAAAAGTAGCCCATCCAGGACCTGAGCTTTAATTAATCCTGGCTTCCTCACATGAAGCAACTGGGAGTATTACTACCCAACCCTGGACAGGATGCAAGTCCATTCTCCCATTATTCCCCCCCCCCCTAGCATTTTATCAGGTTTCCCTGACTAATTTTTGCTACCCATTTATACTCCTGGGTGGAGACAAACACAGTAAGAATAAAGTGTTTTGCGCAAGAACATAACACATTGACTGAAACCCAGACCTCTTGACCCTGAGTCCAGCACAGGCCAGGCTAGGCTACAAATGCAGACCTCTTGACCATGAGTCAACTTCACTAATCATAAGACCACCATGTCTCCACAAGAGGGGAGAGTTTATGCTGAATCCTTTCTCATAAGAAACAAATTTTACAACACCAAAGAAAAATTCTCTCATCTGATTTTTAAATAGGGATTACTGGTCAAAACTTATAAAAGATATATTTCTTTAACTCAATTTCCTACAGTTGAGCTGACACCCATATTCATATTGGTGAGTGTTAGTTCAACTGTTACACTTATTGCTGGAAAAACAGTGAAATATTTACAGTACATTTATACATGCTGATGTATGTTGAAATGGATTTCAATTTGGTACAGGTGAAGACATTTGTGGTTTACTAGTATATGTACATTTCACTGATTGTTTTTGTATTCATTCCATGTTTACATTGTTTTGTGCTCAAAATTGATTTGTCTTTGATGCTAACTTTAATTCTTCTAATAATCAAGATGGCTTGTTTTTAAAATATCAAATAATCCTTGCTAGCTGTCTTCATGTACAAATGAATTCAATAAAGTGTAACAAGGAAATCAATTGTACTGGAATTCAAAATAGCCAGAGATACATGTACAGTGTAAATTACTTTTACAAAAGCCATTTCTAACTTCTAACTACCCAGTTAAGCACCAGGGCTTTACTGGGGAATATTGACCCAAGATTGCAGCAGTAAACAAATGGCATGCTGCCAATATTCCCCAGTATGGCTCAAGAAAGCAAGGTAATTGTTGTGCACTAATGTCACTTTGGCTAAACTATAGTTTGCTTTGAATATATTCATGTTTTGTGGTTGTCTGTATGGTGCAAGGATGCTGTGTATGGCAAAATCCTGACCAAGTAAGAACCAATCAGAACTTTTTATTTACTTCAAGCCTTGCCATGTGATAACATAAATTATCACCAGACACATACTTGGATGCGTGCAGCCACATGCAGAACTTAACTAGTTTAAATGTGGTCATTGATTGATCATATATTGCTTAGAAGATGACAAAAGGTAAAACTTTACTCAGATACCATTCAATCATTATCAGTTGATGAATTGGATTCCTAAAACTGGAATTCAGTTAATTGAAAGGACGCTTCCATTAAATCACTAGCTGACATTTGAAGAAAAATCAACTTGTCTCAATATTTAACAAGGAAATCAGTATAGCAGTACAGTTTGGAAGGACAATCTTAAAGCAGTCTACCAAAAAGAAAAAATTACTTTCAAAATATAAAATAATGAACATAAACACATGAAATACGCTGGAAATGTTTATCGCTTTTTGATTAAATGCATCTCAAATACGGGAGCAATTTAAGTTAACACATAATCCAGACATGAAAGCTAGCGCAAAACACTTTCCGGTGAGCATGTTCCACATGCATATGACACACAAACGAAACTGAAAGTGTTACGATCATCAGCGCTTGCACTAAATCGAATTGATAATTTGGAGATTTCTTGTAACTCTCCCAAATTAATTATTTTTTAGAGGTAAATGCCAGGTATTGGCTGAGAATTTTTGGGAATTCGACAGTTGTAACATATTCGTGTAAGCTCAGCTCAATTAGCTTACAAGTAACACTAAGCGTCATGCAATACAATTAATGCACGCCAGAATCAAATAAAAGCTAGCAATCCTCGTCAGTTAACAGCAGTAACGTCTTTCATTGCCGGAAATCAGAGAAAATTAGGACAGATTAAGAGCATTTGAAGGATAAATTTTGACTGAGAAACGCGAAATAAAAGTATTTACCTTACATTCAAAAATCTGAAACAACCATGCGTTCTTACCTCTGTCGCGGAAATGGAAGGCACGTTTGACTGTTTTACGACCTTGCTTCCTCAATCCACCATAGAAATGTTTCACAAAAAGTCACTAAGACTGAGAAAGTACGAAGAGAGAGTCGAAACCTTTGCTAGAAAACGAAGAATCTCAGTTGCGCGTTGTGAAAACGAAAGGGGGAGTCCCCTGGCCCATAACTCTGTGCAAGCTTGAAACCGAAAGTGCGTGACTTTTGTCGCGAAGCACCTCCATTCCAACGAGTTCTCACGCGGTCTCGCTCTCTGCCGATATCGTGTCACGCACTCGTTCAAAATAAATAAATTCTAAAGCAGGTATTTATTTTACGAAACTCTTTTAAAGTCATAATTGCCATTATTTTTCACACGTTTATATCGTGAACAATGTCGCAAGAGCTCTTGTTGACAGGTTGACTGTGAAATTCGCAGGAGAAATCGCGCAGGACACTGATCGTTATGATCTATTCAAGCTCTGTGAGGACCTCTTCTTGACTGAGAATGAGAGGACGAGCATGTTCAGAGAAGGTATTCAGTCTGATGATCTTTCGAAGATCAGATGCAAAGCGGAAGATCGGAAGAAATAAGGAGATGTAAAGGAGAATAAGTTTATTGATGTCTATCAGAACAAATGGAGCATTCCATTGGATCATGAGATTCTAAGGGAAAGTACGTTTTTTATTGGGGGGTGGGACGGGGCTTCGGAGGGGAGGGACATTAGTCAATTTTTTACAAATTGGGGAGGCTCAAACCTGTTTTATTCGCAACGGGGGGGGGTCACAGTTTTTCTTGGCAAGGAAAAAATTTATCCATGTCGCTTAGTTGACTCTTATTTGTTAACAAACACGCGAAGTTTATAGAAACCTTAAACTTGTATATACAAGTAAAGCTTCCAGTCAATAAGTGTATAGAAACCTTAAACTTGTATATACAAGTAAAGCTACCAGTCAAGAAGTGTATAGAAACCTAAAACTTGTATATACAAGTAAAGCTACCAGTCAAGAAGTGTATAGAAACCTTAAACTTGTATATACAAGTAAAGCTTCCAGTCAATAAGTGTATAGAAACCTTAAACTTGTATATACAAGTAAAGCTTCCAGTCAATAAGTGTATAGAAACCTTAAACTTGTATATACAAGTAAAGCTACCAGTCAAGAAGTGTATAGAAACCTTAAACTTGTATATACAAGTAAAGCTACCAGTCAAGAAGTGTATAGAAACCTTAAACTTGTATATACAAGTAAAGCTACCAGTCAAGAAGTGTATAGAAACCTTAAACTTGTATATACAAGTAAAGCTACCAGTCAAGAAGTGTATAGAAACCTTAAACCTGTATATACAAGTAAAGCTACCAGTCAAGAAGTGTATAGAAACCTTAAACTTGTATATACAAGTAAAGCTACCAGTCAAGAAGTGTATAGAAACCTTAAACTTGTATATACAAGTAAAGCTTCCAGTCAAGAAGTGTATAGAAACCTTAAACTTGTATATACAAGTAAAGTAGTCAAGAAGTGTAACCTTAAACTTGTATATACAAGTAAAGCTTCCAGTCAAGAAGTGTATAGAAACCTTAAACTTGTATATACAAGTAAAGCTTCCAGTCAAGAAGTGTATAGAAACCTTAAACTTGTATATACAAGTAAAGCTTCCAGTCAAGAAGTGTATAGAAACCTTAAACTTGTATATACAAGTAAAGCTTCCAGTCAAGAAGTGTATAGAAACCTTAAACTTGTATATACAAGTAAAGCTTCCAGTCAAGAAGTGTATAGAAACCTTAAACTTGTATATACAAGTAAAGCTACCAGTCAAGAAGTGTATAGAAACCTTAAACTTGTATATACAAGTAAAGCTTCCAGTCAAGAAGTGTATAGAAACCTTAAACTTGTATATACAAGTAAAGCTTCCAGTCAAGAAGTGTATAGAAACCTTAAACTTGTATATACAAGTAAAGCTTCCAGTCAAGAAGTGTATAGAAACCTTAAACTTGTATATTCAAGTAAAGCTTCCAGTCAAGAAGTGTATAGAAACCTTAAACTTGTATATACAAGTAAAGCTTCCAGTCAAGAAGTGTATAGAAACCTTAAACTTGTATATACAAGTAAAGCTTCCAGTCAAGAAGTGTATAGAAACCTTAAACTTGTATATACAAGTAAAGCTACCAGTCAAGAAGTGTATAGAATCCTTAAACTTGTATATACAAGTAAAGCTTCCAGTCAAGAAGTGTATAGAAACCTTAAACTTGTATATACAAGTAAAGCTACCAGTCAAGAAGTGTATAGAAACCTTAAACTTGTATATACAAGTAAAGCTTCCAGTCAAGAAGTGTATAGAAACCTTAAACATGTATATACAAGTAAAGCTACCAGTCAAGATTAATCTAAATTATTTACAGGTGTCGAAATATTATATAAAAAAAACTGCCTTCTCCCAACTAACATAATCGTCTCTCTCGACTCGTGCCCGCTTTCGTCCATATTTTGACGGTGGTAATGTTTCCACG